CCCCTCCCTGTGCCGAAGAGCCCCTCGGGGCAGGCCCATCCCCCATAAGCGGTGCCCTGTGTGTGTCGTGCCCACCGCAGTGTCAGTGTCCAGCGAAACTGGACGTCACAGTCTTGCTCAGGAATAACTGCACGGTCCGCGCACGGGTAGACACAGCCTCCGATGCTGAGCTTTGGAGACCGATGGGTCACAAGCCGCCACGCTGCTGGGAAGGGGCCTGGGTACACAGAGGGTCCGGCCTTTCTTCCCCCACTAGCCCTTGGCCTCCCCGTGTGGCTCATTTCCAGCTGGCCCCGGGTTTCACCTCCTGCGAAGGGCCCTCCTGCCTGTCAGCCCTCGGTGTCAGCTGGCCAGACGCTCCCAGAGGCCGCGGCCGGCTGTGCGTGGGGCTTGGCACCGGAAGGGCTGACCCGGGCTGCAGGATGGGCACACCCTTGCTCCAGCTTGCCTACCGCCCCCCTGGGAGCCTTCCTGGAATCCAGGAAGTTAAGGAGGACTTGGGCAGGAGCCCCCCAGGGGTCTGACAGCCCCGCCTCTGTCTTGTTCCTGGCCCTGCCCAAGTACAGGGGTGCTCAAAGAGAGGGCCAGAGGGGCCTCGCCAGGAACAGACCTTCCAGGCCCCACCTGTGTCTGTCCTTCAAACCCGGCTGCCTCCATGCCCCTCAGACCACAGCAGCGGCCTCGTCCGCTCTTGGCCCTGGCTGCCTGGACAGGGCTTGTGTACTAGTCTCTGTTGCTTTGGGGATCAAGTCTTAAAGAACTTGGCCCACAGGGGCGCCTGGGTGGCTCAGTCGGTGAAGCATCCAGCCTTGGCTCGGGTCATGATCTCACGTTTGTGAGTTCGAGCCCCGCATTGGGATCTGCGTTGAGAGCACGGAGCCTGCTTGGGATTCTCTCTCTCTCTCTGCACACCCCCCCATCATTAAAATAAATAAATAAACTTAAAAAAAGGGAGAACTTGGCCCACGGAGAGGTGGCCACACAGGTCAGTGGGAAAAGGACCTTCTTCTGTAAATAGGGTTTCAGGAAGTGGGTTGGTTATTTGGTAATTTTATTTCAAGTTACATCCCAGAGAGACAAAATTGCTCACCGTGAACAACACCTCTGAGACTTTAAAAAAAAAATTTTTTTAATGTTTGTTTATTTTTGAGAGAGAAAGAGACAGAGCATGAGTGGGGGAGGGGCAGAGAGACTGGGAGACACGGGAATCCAAAGGAGGCTCCAGGTTCTGAGCTGTCAGCAGAGAGCCCGATGCGGGGCTCGAACTCACGAACTGTGAGATCACGACCTGGGCCAAAGTTGGACGCTCAACCAGCTGAGCTGCCCAGGTGCCCCTACACCTCTGAAACCTTTAAAAGAAAGCATAGGCTCATGGGTGCTGGTGAGGAGGGGTGTTCTCACCCTGGGCTGGGCACGGTCACCGGCTCCCCTGCCAGGGTGTCCATCCCCGTGGGACCCACAGCCTCCCGCCGGGCTCCACAGGGGGCCTAGAGGGTGCATCGCCCCAGACAAACAGGCTGTGTTATCTCCAGCGCCACTCCGGGGAGGGAGAAGATATTTTCCAGATGTTTGGGAACTGTTTCCCATTCGGGCCCTGCCCAGGCAGAGCTCGGGCTGAAAGCTTTCTGTGTGCTCCAAATGGCACCGCTTGGGCCCTGGGGCAGGAGGGAAGAGCCAGGAAGCCGCAGGCCTGGGTGGGGTCCCTGGAGCCCTGCTGATACTCACGTGCAGGCCTGTAAGGGCCGGCACTGGGGGTCCCGGCCTGACCTTGGGAACTTGGTGCCGGCCTGGGGGACGGACATGGCCGCAGTCCATTCTAGTTCACTGCCAAGTGGGACAGGCTGGGTGGGAGGTGGCCTGTGAGCAGGAGGCCTGGCAGAGGGGCCTGGTCACCCCTCCCCGCATAGCTATCTGGACGCAGCAGATGAACCAGACCCACCCCAGCCCCAGAGCTCGGGTCTCCAGAGACCAGCCCGGGAGGAAGCTCCCACAGGCCACTATGATGAGGATGAGGAGTTCGCAGAGGTGACACAGACTTACCCGCAATTCATTTGCTCAAGGCTCTTATGTGTAAGATGTGTAAGATGGAATGAGACTCAGGGCACAGCTTCAGGGCCGTCCTGGGGATGAGACTGCACAGTTCGGGTGCTCTGGACATAGAGCTCAGGACGACGCCCGGGGGTGTGCCCAGATGCAGAGGAGGGGTGAGGGACTCCGTCTGTGTCTCTCTGGATCATTTGGGCTGACCGTGTGGACACGGGCACCTTGGTGGGGGACACAGGATGTCTGCAAACTCCAAGGCCCGGGAAAGCCTCATGCTCAGAGGCCGGCTGTGGAGTCGAACGTAGAGGGCGGCAAGAGGCTGGTCCCACGGGAGGGCCTGACAGCAGGGCCGCAGGGCCAGAGGGATGGCTTCCTGCCCTCTGGTGCCGGTCGGGCCTCCTCGGGACAGCACTGGCCTGCCAGCTCCCGGGGGAGGATGACATCCGCATTCAAGATTCCCAGGTTGCCCAGAAGAACTCGGTAAATGTCCGATAGCACGGTTGAGGAAATGTTAGTCTCAGACTCTGCCCTTGTGTCCCGAGATTCTCCTGACCCTCCTTCTGTCCCTGCTCCCCCTGCAATGCCGTGGGGCTGGTTCCCTGCAGCTGAGTTTCTTTACGGGAGATGAAAACAAGGCTCAGAGAAGAAAATACACACGTGGAGTGTTCTACAGCTGGTCCCGGGCTTTAAATCCAAGGCTGATGGGGCGCCTGGGGGGGCTCAGTCGCTCGAGCGTCCAACTTTGGCTCAGGTCATGGTCTCACGATTCATGAGTTTGAGGCCCAAATCGGGCTCGCTGCTGTCAGTGAAGAGTTCACTTCAGATCTTCTGTCTCCTACCCCTGCACCTCCCACGTGCACTTTCTCTCTCTCTCTCTCTAAAAAAAAAAAAAA